AAATTGAAATCTCAAAATGGCAAAAGAACGGCGAAAAAAACGTTCACAGAGAAGACAACAACAATTGTCACTTGCACGAAGCAAGGTTATACAAAAAACAAATGACCCCGAACATGAAATACCTTCACGGAGTGCGTCGATGCGCAAGCTGTCATCCAAAGAACAGGAGGGTTTAGCTAGCGCCTCACTGCAATCTTTAAAGGTCGTTTTCTCAAAATGAGTTGTTTCTCCTACTCTGAGTCCGACATTTCCACTTCAGTTGCACTTACATACACCAAACCTTCCAGTGATATTCCTATCAATATTATGAAGGCTTTTACAGAAGGGTTTGTTCATATGTCATTCATAGCCTGAATTATACAAATTTTTATACCTAGAAACATGGCGAAAATTGATATTTTAGGGCTGTTGACAGTATTTTCTGATTAATGGAGTGATACAAAGAGATATCCAATATCCCTTCTGTAAAAGCCTTAGATGCTAATATGACTACAAAATGAAACGAGAATTTTGAACCTGGCTTTATCCAAAGTTCAGATTTCGGTTCCTGAAATGTGTTAAGATATGCGCAAATTTAATGAGATAATGGTAATTTGCATATTCAGAAAACTTGTAATACAAGAAACAATTGCCTCATTGTAGGTAATTAACTGGAGAGATTTCCAGCTGATATCTTTAAGTTAAAAAAAATTACCCTATTCACCTGGTGTCTCGCCTCTGTTAGGCTTAATACACCATTATAGACCTACATCACTTAGCAACAGCTGCACATTCCCACATGCTAACTATGGGTCTTACGAACCTACATAACATTACAAATAGTCAGGAAATATTATTTAAAATATTAATAAAACTATGAATTCAATTTTAACTGATTGACAAGGCAAAACACTGCACAGCGGCAGCAGCATTAAAGGAAACATATCGTCTTACCTTGTGTTGGGGCTTCACAAAACTCCAAATGTAGCCTGGGGTGGCACTAATGAAGACCCTCATTAGAGCAGATACATCCACATTGTCCAAAATGTTACTATTGACATGCATTAAAGTCAGATGTGTCAGTCTCTTCTGTGTCATATTACTCTAGTTGTAGAGGTGGTGGGCTGAGGAGTAGCTGGTGGTCCACTCTTTTTATTGGGTTGTTTGTTGGAGAAAAAAATCCAAAATCCTTTTTTGCGCCATTCTAGAAAGTTGTCACTCTGCAGTGTGTGTGTGTGTGTGTGTCGCGTCAATTACGTCACTCTCCCACGACCTACGACCTAGATGACTCGGATTTTATTTATTTGGAAAATTCAAGCCACCTGACATATATATATAGAAATATATTCTATGACTATTATATGCTACTGTATACAGCTAATTTTATTTTAAGTGAAATCATAACTATTTGATGTAGTTTAATCATTTTTATTTAGGTGGTCACTCAGTTTTTCAAATGTACACCACTCGCCAACAGGGGTTGCTACAGCACCCCCAGCACCCCTACTTCCCGCGGCTATGAGCGTGCCTGCAGAGAGGGGCTTCTCCTTGCTGAACCGTGTCAAGACATCACTGCGGAGTCGTCTGGAGGAGGAGAGAGTGACGTGGTTTATGCGTATTGTAAGCTGCAAAGACACCTTGGACACGTTTCATTTGAGCTCGGCAGCAGAGGACTTTGCCGCAATAAAAGCAAGGAGAAAGTAAAAAGGGTAGCCTAGGGTAAATGTGATGCCTTTTTTAAAAACGGGCTCCAGATGTTACAGGTGTTTTTTTTAAAAGCCTACATTTTAGCGGCTAATGAGGTTTTGCTCAATCGTTCCTGTTCGTTTTGTTTAATCGTTTCTGTTGTTCATTAAATAGTCAAATTGATTTGAGGTCGTTGTCATTCTTTCGTCAATCTAGGTGTATATAGTTGCGTTTGTAAGATAGACTGTTATTGAAACATGACCGGTAAGTTTCAAATTTATCTGGTAAAATAAATTTTGTCCGGACATCTGACAGGCGAGAAAAAATCCTAGTGGAAACCCTGATCACCAGGTACTCGTAATGTCCCGAAGAGGTGTTGAAGGCGGTCTTCCATTCGTCCCTCTCACGGATTCGTACCAGGTGATAAGCGTTTCGTAGATCCAGCTTAGTGAAGATTGTAGCCCCCTGTAGTAACTCGAATGCTGACGAGATGAGTGGCAAGGGATAACGATTCTTCACCGTGACTTCGTTCAGGCCCCGATAGTCAATGCAGGGTCTCAGGGTCTTGTCCTTCTTCGCCACAAAAAAACCCCCTGCTCCTGCGGGTGATGTGAAAGGACGAATAATTCCCGCAGCCAGAGAGTCATTGACGTAAGTCTCCATGGACTTCCTCTACGGTGCGGAAAGCGAGTACAACCGGGCCCTGGATGTAGCTCAATGGCGCAGTCATAGGGCCGATGAGGTGGGAGAGATGTCGCCTTAGCCTTGCTAAAAACCTCCTTAAAGTCCAAATATTCTGCCGGAACCCCTGTGACATCCGGAACCAGGTTCATATCCACAGATAGTTGAGGTGCGGCGGCCTGCTTGAGGTAAACCTGATGACAGGAGGAACTCCAACCTAGGATGGACCCAGTTGCCCAGTCAATGTTCGGGTTGTGGCGGCGGAGCCACGGATAACCCAAAATCAGAGGGATTTGGGGGGACCATATCACATGAAACTGGATTGTCTCATGGTGGTTCCCCGACATGAGCATATGGACCGGTGTCGTCTGGTGTGTCACCGTTCCCAGCAGGTGACCATCCAAAGCATTAGCCGGTACCGGCTGGAGCAGCCGAACCTGTCGGATGCCCAGCTGTAGTGCGAGCTCCTCGTCAATGATGCTAACATCTGATCCGGAGTCGATAAAAACAGCCAGAGCCTGAGATTTGCCTGTCAGGAGGAGTCGAGCATGGCACAAGGGTCTTAGATTGGGGATCAGCTCAGAGGTTTGGCCCACCAGTATACTCCCCATTACTGATGAGCTCTGCCTTTTACCGGACAACGGGAAACCATATGTCCAGCCTGACCACAGTAAATGCAAAGATTACCTCTTCGACGTAATTCCCTCTCCTCAGAGGTAAGACTGGTACGACCCACTTGCATGGGCTCGACCTCCCTGTACCGTGAGTCAGTAGGAATGGGAATTCTCCGCCGAAACCCTAAGTCGAAATCTCACGGAAACCGGAAGTTGTTGTCGCGAGCAGCGGTCCGCCGCTCGCGTCTGTTGTTCTCCTCTCCGGGTCTGGATTCGTCTGTCAATCCGAGAGGTGAGCTCAATCAACCCATCCAAGGAAGCAGGGAGATCATAGGAAACCAGCTCTATTGAAGGCAATAGGCTGGTAGGAGACAAAACGGCAGATAGTAGGCAAAGGGCTGGTCGGGGACAGGCGAGGGTTCCAGGAGAAAGCAGGACGGGAGTCGCAGGTACAGAACGGGTCAGGGAGCAGGCGAGGCAGGCTGGTCAGGGACAGGCAGGGTTGAAACCGGGAGAGCAATCTGAAGGGTAATGCGGGAAAGACTGGCATGCTGCAAAGTACGATCTGGCAATGAGGTGAAAGTGAAGTGGGCCTAAATACTAATGGAGCTGATGGGTGTAACAGAGTGAGAAAGAGAGACAGGGTGTGACTACCAGGTGACTAAGGAATGTTAATGCAGAAAATAGGTGAGTGAGAAAGCAGACTGTGACAAGGTGAGTGATCAATTCGATCAGGATGTTGTCAGGACCCACTGCTTTTCCCAGGTTCATAGTGCAAAGTCCTGCTTCAAACTCTTCCAAAGTGAAGGGCTTGGTTGGTATTGACATGTTCTGTTGGTTACCTGTAATGAATGCGGATTGATGGTGTGGGTTCAATGCCTAGTAGTGCTTTTTCCATCCCCTCGCTATACTCGGCCCATTTTACCTTCTTGAGGTTGGAACGGCGTCGAAAGGGAACTTCCGACTTTGTTATAGCATGGTTGATCGTGACTGAGATCGGTCACGAAACACAGGTCAGGGTTGTATCCTCTTCTCCAGAGGCAGCTGTTGAAGGATTTGGGAAGTTTGGCATTGTGAATCAGATCTAGCTGCATGCATGTGTTTTCAATCCAGCTTTCGACTAGTTCACCATCACTGTTGGTAGAATCATAGCCCCACATTGTGTGGTGGGAGTTAAAATCCCCAATCACAACAGCATACTTCTTCCTTCACTTAGGTGGTAGGTCAGTGCGGGGATCCGTTGCTCTGCCTGCCACTGTTAGCACCCCACTAACAGAGGATGAACTTTTCCTCAAAAGCCTGCTTCCTTCTCTTCAAAGACTGCCAACGCAGCAGAAGAAATTCGTGAAGTTTGAAATTAATAAATTAATTTATGAAGCAAGCACAGTTGTGCTAAATTTGGAATTCGAATAGATGACCTGCCATGGGTTGACAATCTTTGAAGGGAACAAACCAGGCTTTTTTAAATGTAATCTATAAATGTAGATTATAATTTTTTATTCAAATATCAAAATAAAACGTTGTTTAATGTTCCTTTATTCTTTCGCCATCACATACTTTTCTTTAGGTTTCTTTATGGTCATCACATAATTAATAACGTAATTAAGGTGATTGTATTGTGCACAGTAGTGTAAAGTAACTAACTTTTACTTGTAACAGAGTATTCCTAGTAGCAGTCTGCTAAATATAATCCTTTGTAGAAATATAAGGGACTGCATGTTTTCACAATTTCATTACATTTAAAGTCAAAATGCACTTCTATATATGCTTTGCCTTTAATCATAAAGTCATTTAAAAAGCAGAAAGTGGCACTACCTCACAAAACAATAATTCATGGATTTAACAGAAATAATTATATGAATTGGTGACCTAAATCTGGTGTTGGGATAGAAATGTTGCTCAATAGTATGTGTGGGTGGCTCTTAAAAGAGCCTTTAATGTGTGCTGGTGCATTACACGTCGTCTTGCCATGGGACCGTTCCCTCTGCATTGAAGTATGATGTGAAGACCTCCCTAACTCTGATGGCTTCTCTTGCGGAGTTGTTGGCTGCAATTCTTCCTAGACCTGGCGGTGGATCAGCAACTGAGATGGCCCTCTGTGTGTTTGCCTGGGTTGTCCTGCACAAGAAGTTATGGAGAATACAGGTAGCCTTCACAAACTTCTCTGCAACTTCTGTCTGGACCTCAATTAGAAGCCTGTACATCCTCCACTGAGATGAAAGAATCCCAAAGGCATTCTCCACAACAAGCCAAGCTTGAGACAGACTTCGTTGAAGATTCTGCGCTCTCTGGGAAGGTTGCGCCCAGGAAATGGCCTCATGAGGTTTTTCCTGAGAGGAAAGGCCTCACCTGCAACAAAGACATGTGGCAGTGGTCAACTCCTGGGAGTGGCAGGCCAGCAGGCAGTTGGAGGGAGTCAGATTTCAGGGCTTGACCAAAAGCAGAGTTGGCCAGAATGCCCCCACCACTAGTTCTTCTATAGCCCCCAACATCAATAACACGAAAAACAATACTGTGCATCTACAACTGCCAAAAGAATGTTCCTTTGTAATAAAAAAACTGGGATCTTGTGTTTTCTGGGGCTTTCACTTTGCCTCCGTTGCTCGCTTCGAAAGTTGAGAAAAGTTCAACTTTTCAAGCGTTGACGGAAGCGCCAGCCAATCAATACCACTGCCACATGTCTTTGGTTGTTGGTCACACGCCCACAGGCAATCTTCAACGCCACGCTGCCGTGTGGTCGTACCATCACTGTGGTACAGTGTCTGTTGTCAGCATTGCCCGGGATGCGCCACATGGAGGCTTCTGCTTGCAATCCCCAATTTCATTTTCATGCTAATACTTTTGTAATTTTTTTAAGTAACATTTTGAATGCAGGACTTTTACTTGTCACTGAGTATTTTTGCACTCTGTTACTTCTACTTTTACTTCGGTACAAGATCTGAGTACTTCCACCTCTTGAACCAATATTGTAATTTTGATAAGATCGACAGAAACTCTGTGTCTGTTGGCCGTGCAGACAACTTTTTCCACGTATGCTGTAAAGACTTAATAAGGTATTTGATTTGAGGTCAGTGTGTGGATCTATTACCTTGCTCCTGTGAACTTGCACCTCTCTAGGAACCAGTTTACACTCCATAATTGGCCATTTCTGGTACTTGAACTGGTTCCCAAGCAAGTTGCCCTTGGACTGCTCATTCTTTCAAAAAGAGAATGGCGCTCAGCACTGTGTATTGAACATAGAAACATACTGAGCTAGCCCGCTAACGTTCACAGTTCTGTGCATGGCATTGGTATTTCCAATGGTATGTGTTAATTGCAATGGGATATTTTCCTCCCATCACTCTGGTTCTGTGCTGAGGCCTGTTCCTCTGTGCTGCTCTATGTGGTGTAATGTTAATAGCTTGCCGCAGGTCCATTATATCCTCTGTATGGACTGCTTTTATAACAGTTTCTCCTTTCATTCAGTTGCAGATGTAGGGCAGTTGCCAAAAATATTCCAAAACATGTTTTTGTAAATCTTTTTGTATAGATATATGAGGATCTATTATTTATCACTATAGTTTGTAAGAAAAATTCACAGAAAAGACAGTTTGTTTAAAAAAAACTAAAACATTCCAAGTTTGAAAAGGTAGCATGCAACAAAATCCTACTGCAGCCATATTTTCCAAACCTTCAACAAAAAGTAAAATAAAAATGCTGTTTTAATATATGACAGGCTGCAGGGATTCGTTTTATAAATAAGATGTGCTGTTTTAACCCTGCATTGTGTCTGACAGGCTGACATGAGCAGTGACAGAGCCATCAGGAGGGAAGAAGGAGAGAGGCTGGCCAGAGTGAGTGTTTCATTCATTCATTCACTCACACTGTTCCAACTCAGTGATGCTGACACCATGCTCCTCTGCTTCTCCAGGAGTACTCCGTTCCTTTCATGGAGACTAGTGCCAAGACAGGAGTGAACGTGGAGCTGGCCTTCACTGCTGTGTCCAAGTATGAAACTCTTTACCTGCTCTATATCCAGTCTGAGAGAACTGAAGGAATTATTAGCTGCTACCTGTCTAACAATATACTAACACTGAAGGGGTTTAATATGATAAAACATTTTCATCCTGTAACGTACGTGCTTACAGATGATGAAATAATACCAACCATTCATGTCATTACTAATTTGTTCACCCATCATCAATAATATGTAAGAACATTAACATGTAAATGTTTGTTGAACGTTTCAGCCCATTTAGCAATCCATTTAATAAATAATATATTACAATATAAATATTGGTAACATTCCATTGAGAAGTATTTAAAGAGAAATTCATTAATTTCCAGGGATGATTAGATACGAAAATGTCCACGTTAAATAATCTAAGAAAAAATGTAATCAAATGTTATAATAGCCATCCAATCATTTATTTCTTAAAAGGCCATTACAATATTAATCAAGTTGCAAGTTCACGGATGCTATAATGTTGTTTCGTTAAAGGTCCATCCTTTCCTAAAGGTCACCTATTATGGAAAATTTACTTGTTTATGTCCTTTATATATACATGTATGTGTGGAGACCATAGACCAGGGGTGGGCAATTACTTTTTCCATGGGGCCACATGAGAAACAAAACATATTGTGGAGGGCCGGGCCAAAAGGCTGAACTCAATTCTGCATAATATTAATTGTATTTCTTTATAAAAAGCAGTAAATAACATTGTTTTGACAAGCTGGTAAGAGTATATGTTATAGTTGAGCAATGAAAAAGTGAGGTTGCCTTACAAAAAATGTAATTTATTCAATCAAATTTCCCAAAACAATGGTAAACAAAATGTGAACGTTTTTCACCATTTCTGACTCATATTAGTGAACATTTTCAGTCACATCCACTACAAAACACATTTTGAGTTTCATATACTGTTGGAAAGTTGTGTAAAGGTTCTTAGCATTCTTAAGACATCACAACATTGTCTTTGTGCTCCAAACATTCAGCAAGATACATCATATTGAACTGTCACTGAACATCACTGAACTGTGATTTTGAGAAAAAGGCTTCCAAAGAAAGTGTCCCAGGTCACTGCTAGTTGGTACCTTTACATGCCTACATGTGTAGTCTAACCACCTCATTTGGTGTTTTTAAGTTCTCTTTTCTTGTTCAGTGAGATAAATCTAGTCTCTGCTGGGCTTTAACGAGTGCATCGAAGTCAGGTTGCATGTCTGAGGTGGAGATGAGAAGCATAGCTGACAGATGATCATCAGTGAGGGAGGATCTATACCTGGATTTCATAAACTTCATCTTTGAAAATGTTTGTTCACATATGTAGGTAGAGCCAAAGAGAACCAACATCTTCTGAGCATGTCTCCTCATGTTTGGAAAGTTCTCCTCCTCGAGAGAAGAGTAGAAATCCAGCAGAGATCCTGACTTAAAGTGCTCTGCCAGTACTGCATCAGACTGCAGGTCAATGAGTTCCAGCTGAACATCACTGGGTGCATTATCCACACTGCAGGTAAAGGGAGAGGAGATCATGAGCATTTCATCCTCCATTGTTCGGAGATCTTCAAATCGCCTTGAAAACTCACCATGCAATGCTCCCAACATGGATGAGTACCTGCGGAGGTGATCAGCTGATGGTGTGACTTCTTTCAGGGTTTGCATGTGAGTGAGAGTGTTGCTCTCCAGTTGGCTTGAAAGAAACTGCATCTTTGTCATGAAAGCCTTCACCAGGCTGTGCATTTCATGAACAAAAAGGCCTTTGCCTTGCAGTTTGGTGTTCAGTTCATTCATCAGTGCAGTCACATCAACAGCAAATGCAAAATCTGCCATCCAGTCCTTATCTGAGAGCTCTGGGATGTCTTTGCCTTTCTTCTCACAAAACTCTTGAATCTCTGCTTTCAGGTCCCAAACTCTTTTTAGCACTTTGCCCAGGCTGAGCCATCTGACAGCTGTGTGGTAGCCGATGTCACGATGCTCAGTCTCATGCTCCTCCAAAAGTGCGACAAACTGTCTGTGATTCAATGCCCGTGCCCTGATGAAGTTTACTATTTTAGTAACAACATCAATAACATGGTGAATTTTTAGCACTGACTTGCACAACACATGTTGGTGTATAATACAATGCAAAAATACCAATTTCTGATCTGCGTCGATTTCAGTCACTTTATCTTGCATACGTTTCAAAAGTTCAAAATGTTTACCTGTAAGATTTGGACAACCGTCTGTTGTGAGACCTGCCAGTCTGTCCCATTTCAGTCCCAGCGTGTCCATGCACGCATTTACCTCCGTGAACAGATCGCTCCCTGTCGTCGTCCCTTTCATCGACCGCATTGCTGCCAGCTCCTCCGTAATCTTGAAGTCCAGAGTTATCCCACGGCCAAATACGCGTAACTGCGCTGTGTCGTGGACATCACAGCTCTCGTCCAAAGCCAAGGAGATCAAGTCAAAACTTGCCACTTCATGTTGCAGCTGAAGCTCCAGATTCCCCGCAATGTCCTCGATCCTTCTCGTCACGGTTCGCCTGGACAGCCGGACTTGCTCAAAGGCTTCTTTTTTTTCAGGGCATATTAGTGCTGCAGAGTCCACTAAGCACTCTTTGACAAACTCCCCCTCTGAGAATGGCTTACTGTGTTTAGCTATTTTGTGGGATATCACAAAGCTGGTCTTGGTTGCTGCATCCTTGGATGTGTGAAGCTTGGTAAAAAAGCCTTGCTGCTTTTGCAGCTTAGCTAGCAAAGCGTTCGATGTGCACGCCCTTTCAGCATCAGTCAAGTTTTTGTATTTCTCCGCGTGTTTCGTTTCGTAATGCCGACTCAAATTGTAGTCCTTGAACACGGCGATCTGCTCCCCGCAAACTAAACACACGGCTTTACCTCCGACTTCAGTAAATAAATACTGAGCAGTCCAATTTTTGTTGGCATCTACCTTTCTTTTTTTAGCATCAGCTGACATTTTTGAGCGCTAAAGTCGTCTTGTGACAATGATCCAATAACGCGCACGTCTTGATTTGACGTATTGCGTCATTATGTACGCGAATAAAAAACAACTTCAAAATAAAAGCATTGCAGCTTTAGTCCATGCATGAGGTAAAATTAGAAAATATGTTTATTTTGTAATTTCCAATTAACCTTACACGGGCCGGTCAGAGTCAACCAAAGGGCCGTATGTGGCCCGGGGGCCGTACAATGCCCAGGTCTGCCATGGACTGTATATATAAATGGACGTAGGGTCCGTGACGTCACCCATAGGATTCTGCAGAGTTGCCGTGAAGCCCTTAGTAGGCGGAGTCGGCCACTAACGGCTCGACAGTGACGTCAGAGTTCAACTCCCGCCTGCTCCAGCCTGCTCCAAATAAGGGCAAAGAGGCGGAGCCGAGGCGGGACCTGCTGCCACCGAGCTGGAAGTTCCAGAGCTAGCTGAAGCTACCAAGCTAAGCTACCATGCTCCCCATCTGCACACTGCCGTCGCATTTTACGTTTCTAAGGTAAGCGGACATGAAACTATTCAGCAAAACTATAAATAATAATCTAAGTTATTGAGTTTTTAGCATAATACTTCAGAATCTTAAAACCCCTTAACGTTTGTATGCAATTGTGCTAAATTCAACACTGGAATCAAGCAAATATTAATGTTTGCATGACATTAGTTATTTATATTTTGATATCACTTAACTATACGTTTAATACATTTAAGTCAAGCTAAGGTACATGTGATGGTAGCTAGTTAGCGCTCTTACCTGTGAGGCCTCCTCCAAACAGCATAATAACCAGACTGTATCATTAAAACTAAGTACCAGTTCTAGATCCTTAACTTTAGACAAACAATTCAAAAGACAAAATGTATTTAAAGACCAATCTTTATTTGAATGTGCCTCTTAACCTGAGATATTAGTTATACAGTAATAGTATTGACAATCTAAAAAAACTGAGCAACTCAACAGTCAACTTTATATTTCTTATTGTCTAAAACATTTCTTATTTTCATTTTCCCCCTCTCATATTCAGTGTGGACCGATTGAGACAGCGTGGTGTCCAGAGAGCAGCAGAGACTTCAGGGACAAACCTCCGTGTGATGGACGCCCTGTCTGTTGGTTTGGCCGGAGAGGACTGAGGGTCTTTCCTCTGCGAGGAGGACCAGGCCTGATGGAGGAGCTGATACCATAGCTGATACCAACTGCACAGGCCTAGTCGGTCACTTTATTTTACTAAATGTGTTTACTTATACATTTAATAGGTTTACACCTTCTGTCCATATGTGCTTTTTATTTAAAACATTTGATTAACTTTTGGTTCACATTTCAATAAATTGTATTTGTATTTGCATTCCTTTCGTCCATTATTCTTACTGAAAATGTTAGATTACACATTCACATCTGACTGAAGATTGGCCCCATTTATTTGTGACGTTGCAAACTCTGCGGTACAAGGCACAAGTGATGTGAAACTCATAAAGTGAGGCAAATATAAATAATCAGCTGATGGAGTGTTGTGCGTAGACGGCTCTGCTAAAGATTGTTCCCTAGTTTAGGTTTTATGTTCTGTGTTTAGATAGGTTCCTGTTTTATTTTGATAGTCTTGTCTACCCTCATGTGTCTGAAGTACGTTTCCTGCCTTGCTTGTTTTCCCGCTGTTGTGATTGTCTAAATTGTCTTCACCTGGTGTTGTGTGTCTAGTATATATAGTTCTCGTCTTCCCCTGTCTCGTTGCCAGATTGTCTTTTGTGTGTCAAGCATTCCAGCGTTAAGATCTTTTGTCATTGTCCTTAGAGTTACCATCCATAGAGTTAGGTTAAGTAAGTAGTTTTTTGATAGTATAGGTTAGACAGTTTATTGAGTGTTTGTTTTGTTACTTTATGTATTCAGTGTGTTGTTACCTGATTACATTAAAAAACACTTTATTTTGATACTTTGTTCATCTCTGCATCGTGCATTTAATTCCACGCCTTTGTACAGCCTTAACATGGAGTGTAAATGTGGAAATAGCTGCATTCGATCAGCTGACTGTGTTTTCAC